CGGTTCAATCTGTCACACAGGTCTCGCTGCTCCCGGTCGTTTCTTCTCTTTGCGTTGCCTTGCGCTGGTGGTCGTGGGAGAGGGATCGTCCCGGTCACGTCCAGCTGCTAAAAAGGTTTTTTACTGCATTTTAATGATACTTATGCTGTTTTCCAAACTATATATTTACATGTATTTTTCTTCCTCTAGGTATTTTTTGAGAAGCCACTTGATCCAATATGGCTTTGATTAGACAAAAAAGTTTCCAGTTTTATTCATCCAGCACAGCAACAAGCAGGTCCATTTTGATGACCCTAAGCAAAAGGTTTAGCTTTATCAGTGGGCAGCAAAAGCCCCAAAACTGTAGCTCCATAGCCATGAGGATGCTATGTTTCAAAGATAAATCTCCATACATGTTTTGTAGAAAAAAACACATACAACTGCAGATACAGTCTCTTTCTCCTAATGAAACTGTGCATCTTTGTGGAGATACTGGGAGCAGTCCTAAATCTGATAATGGGTGGATGGATGAACAACTGTTTTTCAGGAAGTTGAACAGACTTTGTACATCGAAAGAGATTTTTGACTTTCTTAGCTCTCTGGAAATCATGTCTGATACTATGGCATCAGGAGCCCTGCAGAGGATTTCTGAAGTTGAGGTAGATGACAATGGTCTGAAAAACCCTGGAGGAGTGTTAGAAAATGCAGTTTTCAGGGCATTATGCTTCCAGTTTGAATTTGAATCCTCAAAACTGTCAAACACCGGGCTGCTGAATGCATTGCAAGCTTTGATAAAACTACGTATAGATCCCCAGAGTACACTGATGGCAAACTTGCTTTCAGAGGGTGAGGAACGGCTTGGTAAAGGACAGTTGACTGTTACAAATCTGTGCACTTTTGGAGAGAGTTTGCTTCAGTTGGAAGGCCCAAGTTGTGTGACACTGGAACAAATTGTGAACCACATACAAAAAAAAGACATTGAGAAGTGGAGTGCTAGGGAAATGGTGATGGTTTATAAGATGCTGCAGGTGACTGTCAGGGAAAAGGAACAATACCAAGACTTGCTAAACAGAATGAACAGTGTCACTTTGACCATAGTTTCCCAGCTGAGCCCAAAGTTCACAAGCATAATACTGAATTCACTGGTTGCTCTTCATCAGACTCAGGCATTTCCATTAGTGACAGCACTGTGTAAGCATTCTGTGAAGCATATTCCATATTTCACAGGTGATGAACTGGTGAATGTACTGGAAGCCTTCCTATACTTTGAACATCGTGAACAAATTTTTACAGAGGCACTGGAAACCTATGTTCCCGAGTCCATCTTCACCATGCATCCTCAGACAGTCAGCAAAGTCATGCAGTATTGCTGCCGAAAGACGATCCTTTCTAAGCCCATCTTTGATGCAGTGGCAGAAGGTTTCATTTCCAATGCTGACAGATTGACCACTGACCAGATTGCTGAGTATATTATACCATTTGGGACTCTCAACTATCTCCCTCCAAGTGCTTCTTCCCTGTTTAGGAAGCTTGAAACCGTACTGCATACTCGCTTTAGTCAATTTCAGCCTCACACCTTGCTGAACCTGCTGCACTCGTGTGTCCTTATTCGACGTTATCCAGTAAATTTTCTGCCAAAAATATTTAGTCCTTATTTTCTGCAACAGCTTCAAGGTAAGGAGCAGTGTTTCTCTTGCCACATTCTGCATTTCTTTCTATTATGTGGTGTGTCTCTTGTCAAGGACCCAGTTGTTATCAACTACACCTGTCAAATCAACAATGACCTGATTAAGATGACTGCAGAATAGTGGTCAGGACGCCAAAGATTGTTGCTTCCTTGTCACAGTTGCAGTTGTCTTTCAGTTTATATCATTTAGGGAGTTTGAAAATTGCCCTGTACAATCTTAGGGATTTGAAATCCCTTAAAAATTTTATTTTAGTTAATTCTGCTTTTCTAAAAAACTACTGACCCTCTGTTTTTCCCTGTGTTTGTCCTTTGTCTCATACAGGTTTTAGATGCTAAGTTATTCTGTGTGGGAAATGTGTTACTTTTAACTTTGGCTGTTTAAACTTCTTTGCCTATGCAGTGACCGATGTGAATACTCACACTGAAGTGAGAATATGTTACTATGAGACTGGTTAACACTAGGAAGGCTAGTGAGACTAATTATTATGGAACTAATAAGGCTGAGACCAAAAGTGGCAGATTTTTTAATGACAATGATACTTGGAATGATGCATGAGTGATGTAAAATATAGTTTAGTGATTCTCGGTTAATTTTTCTCAAAATTCTTGCATTTTAATGACCGCTACATGAGGGATGTGGCATAAAGGTAGAACACTGGATAATGAGACTTTTATTCTGACTGTAGCCCCCCCATTTGCTTTGCGGATTTGGGACATCACTTTTCTCTATCTTTTTCTTCCACTACAATTGTTTGCTTTGCTTACTTGGATCTCGTACTCCTTAGGGTTGGCACTGGCTCTTAGGCATTTTACTCAGAGGCTAGCCCAGGGGAGGACCTATTTCAAAAAACAACAGAAATACTAGTAGTACTGATTGTGAAGCTGAAATAAATAACTTCTGCTTGTGCACTGCTGGTTAGATTTAAGATTTTGCTGCCTGTATTTTTAGGGTTAAGTCCTCTGTGAATTTGCATAATCCTTATTTCTGGATATCTTTCTAAGCATCCAAACCACACTCTTTAATTTCTGAGGCTCTAAAGGCAAGGTGCACAATCACAGTTGTCAGAAAACCTGTTTGTAGCCTTTAAAATTGGGACCAAATTATAATATGCAAGAAAAGTTACAACAGTTACAATTGTGTTACTAGCGAGCTTACCTAGTACTAGAAAAATAATCATTATATTTAAAAAATAACCTAAAAATCCTTATAAACTTTGGTCAAGATTAGTACAAATTCAAGAGAGAAGTGTAGCATTGGGACAAAAAAACCTAAAATTACTATTATTGATAAATAGTGTTACGAATATATACACAGAATTTGTAAATCTTGGGCAGTACAAAACGTGTTTTTCAAATACTGTTTTTCCTTATGATTCAAATAAGGTCCATTGCATGTAAGTGATTCTAGCGCTTTATTCCTTACCTTCCGTCAGGCTGCGCTGTGTCCAGCTTTTCAGGTGGGGGTAAGGGAGAACCAGGTATGGACTTCTGCTGTCATCTCTTCTGTTCTTTCAGGATAAGGATTATTGTATTATATTCTTGCTTCCAACTTGGTTGTATTTCTCTTTCATATTGTATTATGATCAGCTTGTGAAAGCTGAAAAGGGTAAATGGATAAAGGTGAAAAAATTAATTTGCATTGTGCAGTTGTTGGCTTAATTAGAAGCGAAGCAAGATCTGAACCAGTAAAATGTAACAGCTTCATAAATGTGAGCAGTTAAGGATAGTCTGGTATGTGTTTTTTTTTTAATTACCTAGGCAAAAATGCAAATTGAATTCTAAGGCTCACATATGTTTTAACCAGGCATAAAGATTGGTGCTTCATCTTGGCTTCTAAAATTACTTTTAATTTAGAATCTGATGTAGTTACGTGAAGCTTCTTCCCGTTGACTACACTCCTCTGGTGGAGGCTTCCTGTGCCCATCTTTGTTCCATCCCCTGAGCTCCTCTCCTTTCCACCTATGAACAAGCATTACACTCCCATCCTTGGCCATATGCCTTACCATACTGAGGGAAACATTATGAAATTTAAAAATCTACCCCATGGTGTATCCCATCTTGCTTAGGAGATCTCAGAGTCTGCTCACCTGCTGCTTCCAAGACTGTCTTGTCTGCAAGGGCTGCCTTCACCTAATTGTTTGGGGTTCTTTTCCTAGTAAATTTCTAGAACGTCCCCCATGTGATAGCCTGTCCTTGGCTGTAACTATTACATAAACCAACGCTTTTGGATACAAACCTACTATGAACAACACAGTTGTAAGCTACAGATTTCAAATAATTCTGTGTTAGATAGTAAAGCATATTTAGCGGCATTATGTAAGCTACGCCAGAAAGATAAGTTGACTTCTCTAGATCTCACCTAAGATTGCTCTGTTAATAAAACTATATAGAAGGTCAAGTTTTCAAAGTGATTAGAAACTTTCATCACTCAATTTTTAGCTGTTCAAAATAAAATACATTAAGAGATTGATTTTTAGGAAGCAGCCATTCCTTATATCCTAAAATACTGAATGTCTTTTGAAGTTCTCAAGCTGATACTTCAAAAATGAGAAACCTCATAGTAACAGTTACTTTGAATACATTCTTTTAAATCAATATAAAGGTATTCCACTAGAGTAGTCAAAGTTCAGAACAAGAACTTGAGAAGATGACCTGTATGATTAGCATCTTATACTACATCAGGATTTTACCCTTCTGTAATAATACTTTGCATGTAACATGAAAGATTCTTCAAGTATACACTTGTAGACAAATCTCCAGAAATTATTCAATATTATCTGCTACTTTCAGATAAAAAAAATCTGAGTGAAACAATGGGATCCTGGGATTATAATTTGGGGAGAAGGGGTCATAGGAAGAAGGAAATGGGATATTTCTCCTAGACCTCAATTCAAACTTTATTCCTCCCTGTAGAACATCTTGCATCTTTCAGATCCTCATTTTTTTTGTGAAAGAGCATGACAGTCTTAACTACGATCTTGCTAGTTGTATTTTTTTTTATGTTGATATTTCTGTAAATCGTTTCCTCATTTTTCTAACTATATCATTTCACAACTGATCTTTCTGTGCATTCAAACAATGATCAAGGATGGTAATGATCAAGTAGCTTCTCTGTGCATTAAACTGAATAGCTTTTCCTAACTTCTGCACGAGGGTTTGTGTAAAGATACTTTGTTGAAGGTACACCTGAAAGCTTGAATATTTTTGTTTCAGCTCAGCCACCTGGTTTGGACAGAATTGTTACCTGCCAGCTAACCCAGCTTTTTCTGACTGTTACCCTGGAGTGCCCATTTTATGAGGTACAGTATGTATGAAACCAGAACTGATGTTAGCAAGAGGTGATAAGGTCATTAGGGCCCTGTTGATAATTAGCTGAAGACTCTTTCCCATAAAAACATTGGGGGAAATGTTGAAAAGTTTGGGGGTTTTTTTCTTGGTAAAAATATGAAGCATTTCTACCTGTTTGATTGACTTAATATATTTGTATGTTTGGTAGAACTAACTACCTCTGAGTTAAAGTGCTTTTTGAGTACTTCCGAGTACTTTTCCAACAACTAGTCCTTTTTTATGTTTGACTTGTGAAGTCTTGGAGAACAACAGATCAGGCACTTTGATGTTGGCCTGACTGCAGAGGAATGGAAACAGTTGTGCATTTCTCATGAGCGATGTGTTCAGTGTGATAGCATGGAATCTTGCTGAGGATCTTCTGGTGGTTGTTTTTTTGTTCTGTTTTGAAGTTTCTAGCAGACCATACCTCAGACTGTAAGTTTCTCAATAGACATGGTTTTGAAATGCACAGAATACATTTTGCTACATTAATATGAGGTAATGGCAAAAATGTGATCTCCTTTTTTATTTTATTTGGTTTTCTGTCATTATGTAGGGTCCCAAACTCCTTCCAAAGTATCAAGTAAAGGCCTTTCTCATGCCTCACAGTTCCCTGGATGTTCACCTCCTCAAAAGGGTGAAGACTGGATTACTTTATTTACTGAAAAAAAGAATATATTTTGCATCAGAGGTATCAACACCATATTTCTATACAGTTGGTAAGTATCATTTGTTTAGATTAATAATAAAATGTGTACTTATGCTGTCGAAACTTTAGGCACAGTTATTTTCCAGAAGTAAAAATGATTGATTTTATTACCTTTGTGTGCATTCTAAATTGTGCAAATATGGAAAAAGTAAACTGGAATACAAAACTCTGTAGAAGGTCTGAAATGAGGAAAGATTATGAGAATTTCAAGTAAATGCATTTTCAATGTGAGAAAGCACAGGGAGAGAAAAGAACTGCAATAGTACTTGAAGTTTACACAGCCAGTCTGCACTGAAAATAGCTGCTAACTCTTGTATTGTGTATTTTTACTATCAGCTCCCATTTTACTCATCCTATAAACAGTTTGTATAATGTAAAGGAAAATGAGGCAATGCTGCTTGCCTGATGTCTTTGCTTTGGTGGTGAGCAGAGAAAGGGAGAGCTGGAGGGTTGTCAGCCCTCTGCCCTGCTCGGCTGGGCTCCTCTCCCCTTAGCAAGAGCTGTTCAGTACATACAGGGGTTTGTGGACTGAGAGAGAGGAGTGGACAAAACAGTGTTTCACGTGCCAGGAAAAGAAATTGAGAGGAGGAAATGATGAGGAAAGATGTATGCCCAGGAGGGGTGTAGGATAAAGATGTGGAAGGAAGGGTCTCTTGGACCCCATGGACATTGTAGGGGTGAAAAAAAAAAATGGAGAGAGGGATGACTCCAGAATTACTCCCCAAAGCTCTCAAAATTCCAGAGGCCCTAGACAGCCCAAAAAAGTGCCATTTAACTACATTATGTTTTTTAGTGGACTTGGAATACTACTTTGCTGTTAGCATTATTAGCTGAAGTGTTACTAATTATCACTGATTTGTGTTAAATAGTCTATATGCATTTTTTGCAAGCCTCTGTGATTCAGAAAAAAGTAGTGCTATTTATATTTCAGTTATTTTATAAAACAATGAACTGTAAGAGGATGAGAATTACAGTAAACAGTTTGTTATATGAAATGAGTTTTAATGTAATTTCTCTTTTACTCTATACTAGATATTGAGATTAAATTAGATGAAGAAGGTTTTGTATTGCCTGCTGCCCAATGTGAAGAGGTACACAGACGGTAAGAGAATAAAAGAAACCACTGGTAAAATGTTAACATTGACAAAGAGCATCTGGGGTGAAACCCCAGCAAAATTTAAGCTAATTGGAGTTTTGCCATTGACCTCAACAAAGCTAACTAAAGTTTCACATTGAAACTACTGGGAAGAGGACCAAGTTGGCAAAATTAACGATCTGCACTTTTTCCTCATTATTTTGCCTCCTGACTATACAGTGTCAGACAATTAGTCTCTTTACCCAGTGACAGATCAAAGTGATCCTGATTTGGCTTATAGTAATGTATTTTGATCTTCTGTAATTCATTTTTAATTCAAATTCATTCAAATTCAAACCTAATTAATTCTAATTGAGCATGTCTGCATAGATTTCACACAGTTTAAGCCAGTTTGAGTTCACAAATTTACTTCTGTAAGGAATCTTGCGTAACAAGGCTATTAGCTACAGACACTGTTTTTACTGAAAAATGCATAGGTGTTTAAAAATATGTTAAACAAGAATTATTTTGAGAGACCTTGGATACAAAATTAAGCAACCTGTCTGTGTGGTATTTGCAACTGCACTTCGGTGGATAAAGCAAAAGTCTTGGAAAAGGTTATGTTTTCTCCAGCTTAACATTCACAAGACTCACAGACTAATAGTGGTTCTTTCAAAAATCACATACTTAAATGTTTAAGAATGGGCTTTGATTTTTTTTTTTTAATTACAGCATTCATGTGTAAATAAGGTCACAATATACTTAACAAACTGAAAATTTAAGCAACTATTTTTACAGTGGATATATAAATTTTGGTTTAAGTTGATGTAATTTTTATCACCAAGGAGAAAAAATACAGTTACAAGCCATGATGCTGCCAACCATCTGTACAGGTTTAACTTAAACAGCTTAAACTTAACTTCAACTCTAAAAGGTTTAACAGGTACACTAATAGGTTGAATAAATTTAGCTGCTGAAATGTTTTCAAGCTGAGATGTTTTGTATGTTTTTCTTTCTAGAAGAATTCAAAACAGCTTACCAATGGTAGCATTAAAAATATCAAACTTTTACTAACTTGTATGGTAATTTTTGTTCAGGGTATATAAATAAGCTTTTCAGATGAGTTTTGCTAAGCTTCAGGCTTTCCCCCTCACATTCTTCAATGGAGTGATTTAAATGGTCCTGAACTAGGTAACTCCCATCCTACAACATCTAATTCTAGGTGGTGTTAGGGAATAAGAGCGGAGGTATTGTCTCATGCTTCTTAGGAACAGCAGTAGTTGTGGTGATTAAAATAACTGAATTTTTTTTTTTTTTAATACTACACTTGTGCTTGATTGTAGAATTGCCCTCTGTGTTGATGGTCAAAATAGATTTTGTGTTAATAGCCACAATCTGTTGGGAGAAGAAGCTATTAAACAGAGACATCTTCAGCTACTTGGTTATGAAGTTGTGCAGGTAAAGTCCAAAGACAATGGTTTGCTTTTGCTCTGGCTAACAAAACAAGTGAAAAAATGATTATTTTATAATGCTTAAAACTGTAGTTGCAATTACTTCCCAAGGCAGATGTAGTCTTGTCCTTTCGATGTTACGTTCTCTCTGCCTAGCTTTTGACTTTTTGAGGGTGTTACAGAAATTCCTTTTTCTTCCTTGGATCAATTAGTGTGCTCTGCCTGGGTTTTCTGCCAAATAGTGGCTGCTTGAAAAAAGTACTTCTCTCCAGTGATTAAGGCTCAAATATTGACTTAAAGGAAAATGTTGTCTAAGAGTTCAGTAGGATTGGGATTTTTAATTAAATACTTTTTAAAAAAGGTCTGAATTTGGAGTTCAAAAAGACAAGTTAAAAAAAAAAACAACTGCTTTGTATTGTAAATAATATTTTCACAGCAGATTATATCCTTTATTTTGCCTGTTGATTTAATAGGGTTATTTTTAGCTTTAAACATACTTTGGACCAAACCAGTTACTTTTAGATCTTTGAGATTTTCTTTTCCATTTATAAGCACTTATCACATAAGCCTAACTCCGTTATATTTAACTTAGTTTAAACTGATGAATATCACTCTTTGTTTTACAATAATCTCTATTCAGGTGATTTGCAGATCAATAATATGCTTAGGATTAAATGTTTAATTTTAAAACAGAGAAATCTTTGATGTGTAATTTTACATCTGCTTAATGAACATGAATCTTACCCAGTTGTTTATTAAAAGGTATTTCCAGCAATCATTTTTGTTTTGTTTCCAGATTCCATTTTTTGAGATAGAGAGTCTACAGAATTGCAGGAAAATGGCAGAATATCTACACAAAAAAATCTTTCCTCACACATATGGACTCAGCTGCTGACACTGGAGAATACTACTAAATCAGAGGTTGACCTCCTGTACTATAAAGTGCAAATATTGTGCATGGAAGAACAATTCTGTTTTCTAAATAACTCCACCTATGATAGTTTGAGCTTCTGAATGTGAGACCTTCCAATATTTGGAACAATTGACATGTAAAGAGTAATAAAGAGCAACATATTTTCTTATGCTTAGAGTAAATATTTATTCTAAGTTGAGAGATGTAGGTGCTAGACAGCCGGTGCTGTGTTTCCTTTATATTTTCACTGGTTCTAACTAACAACTGCAAATGGACAGATGTGGCTGTGCAAGGATACTGGCTGGTGCTGAATGTACAGAATGTGCCACGCTACCTATCAGTCAGGGCTTTTCTTGACAGTATAAAAAGAAATTGTGCAATTTACTCATGGCTGTTTGTGTGATTTCCCAAGTGTTTCATAAAACTAAAATTTGCAGTAGTTGCACAAGCAGTATTTGCTTATTGCTTATACTTAGAGATGTAGAGTGCTGTTCACTAAGTCGCAATGCCTTACAGAAAATTGGAGTATTTTTATTAAAAAGATTTGCTTTCCTTTGTAAAAGAACAGCTGGCAGGGGCAGTGGCCTTGCACAGCTCTCTGGGGGGGGCCACTCTGCGTTCTGGGTATGTACTATTGGTAGCTTTGTCTTCGGTGGCGGTTTTAGCTAAACGGGCTGAATGGGGCCATGTATGTGCTCCAGAGTTCCTTCAGTTTACAGCCTGCCATTCAAGCCTAAATGGCACCTCATTACACTCTGCAGCTCAGAACCACGCCCTGTGCGGTCCTTTCTTAGGTATAAATTGTGGCAGAAGGGTGGAATGGAGAACTAGAACCAGTAACCCCATCAGCTGGATGGAGCAAGTGTGCACTAACTTGGGTCAACATGTTGCTTTACGGATGGAAAAAGGGGAAAAATAACATAGCCTTAGTTCCAATCACGTAGCGTATACTTGATGAACTGCCATGTAAAACACATTTTCAGGTTAGCTTGTGCATCCTGTCCTGTGTGGAATTATTATTTATGAGCAGAAAAGCAGAATTCCCAGCATTACCTGGTTTGATTTTAACTACTTAACTTGATACAAAAAAAATGAAACTTTAACATCCTTGCAGGTTTATGTATTTCACACGCAGATACAGAACGTGGCCATTTTTTCCCTCCAAGGCTACTGTTAATAATTTGTGAGTTGCAGGTGTCCGAACAATCCCTGGAGATTTTTGGAAAGTATGATTTACATTGCATCATGCTGTGCATTCTGTTCATGTTAATTTGTTGCATGTATAAAACTCTTACAGTAGTATGTCAGCACTGATGCGTGAGGGAGCACCAAGAGGTAATGAGATACTTTCCAACAGTGTAATAGGAAGCTTACAGCACGTCGGTGATCTAACAATTGTCATCCTAGCAAAAGAGAAATTGAAGGAGAATGAATGAAATGTCTTTGCAGACATTTATAAGGAACTTCTCCCTAATACAGAAGAAATCGTCAAGGTATTCTTTTGACACTTAACTGAGCACTGAAGGGAGAAGTCAGCCGCTTGGAACCGAATGAGAAACAAGTAGTAGGAGGAACAACCTGTGAAAAGCCTTCAAAAGCGAGGACGGATGAGAAGGGACTGAAAGAGAAGAAGGTGACACAAGCAAAGAAATGAGAGAGGAAAACTGATACTGGGGTGGATGACTCATGCCTTTCTCGGTGGTGGAAGTGAGCTGGTGATGCTTATTTCTCACACAGGCCTGAAGGTGGTGGTGTTCTCAAACGTTTGATTTTCCGTAGTTTTGCAAACACACATGGTTTGTAATTATAGTGAGACTACTTAAAAAAAGTAATTTGTACTGACTGTCCCAAACTAAAAATAACCTGTCTAGAATATGGCCATATTCCACCTCATTCTTCACTAGTATATATTTGATACCAATTTTTGAAAAAGCATTCTGGTATTGTTAGAAAACATTTCCTTCTCGCTTTGTTCTTACTATGATACCTTTTATTTAATGCTGCTGGATTTGTTTAACGAAGTATTTACTGTCGAAAAGGAATGTAGCAGTTACTGCCTTCTTGTCCCTAGGAAGTTGCAGGTCATGAACAATGAAAGTAGTATACACCTCTTGGAATGGGCTGTTTTGTGTGCTCTGCTTCTCACATCATGCTGAACAAGTGCTATTAATTGCCTAATTTACTATTTATCCAGGCCCCAGATTAAGTAGTTCTTTGTTTTAATTATTTTTTACTAGGAGATTCACTGTGTTCACAAATGATACCAGTTTCCTATATGTAAGTACCTGACAGAACTCCAGTGTTAGTCAAAGCTGTGGACTTCCAGTCCTTGTTCTGGTATCCATCAGTCCAGCTGTTCCTTTCTGAAACAAAACTGCCCCAGTTTTAAACACCACCAGGATCAATGGCTCTCGAGAACCAAACTGATGAATACACACCCTGCAGGAGATATTCCTTCTGCTGAAATTACCTTAGAACTTTGTCACTGGACCCAGTGAGAATAGAAGGTACTAAATGTTTAAGCAGGTTTAGACATTTACTCTAAACATGCTTTTTAAATGACTATTGCTCTAATCCTTGTGTTTTTTCCATCCTATCTACCAAACTATTTAGTGCTTGTTCTCCTAGTATTACTTTTTTTTTCTTTTTTCAGCATTTGATACAGAACTAGAGATGATTTTTCTTGTGACAATCTTGAACAGATCAATCCCTCAGACACCATTGGTATAGTGAAAGTCAGCAAAATGGATGTCTGAAATCAGCAAAGCCCAGATTTTGTCTATTTAAATGCTGCGTACTCAGAAGTTCCTTTTAACTTGACTTCCACTTGAAGTCTACTGAAACTGCTAAGTCTTTCTCTAAGATCATTTCTTTACTTGCCCATAAATGGGTAAGCTCATCCATTTTGGAGAATCTGCTTTGAATCCCCATTTCAGCCATTGTGCAGATAAAATAACACCGAGCAATTTTGTAGCAACACTGTAAGGATTAAGAAGTCAGTGACCACTGATACCTTGAGGAGCACACTTGCTTAAATGTTAAGTCTGTGAATAGTTATGTAGAAGCACTGCCTAAAATAGGAGAGAGACAGCTGTTGACCCAACAGGTCTCACTTCCAGTGTTGCTGCCTAAAATGTTCAGCTCTTGCTGGTGCTCCTCATGAGATTTTTATGAGACCATATGAAGACATACATTCAAATTAGCATAAAGAAAAGTACAGCTGCTATTTCATCCTTTTTTTTAGATCCAAATCATTCTCATTAACTAAATTGCAGAGGAAAAGGCAAAAACACCACATTGCTTTTTGATGTGAGGTGAGTTTTTTCACATAAATGTTGCTGGCAATGACAGATAGAAGCGATTTAGTATGGATCCAGGCTTGGAGAAGGTTTTTCCAATAAGCAGGTGATGCCATTTTTCCTGTAGAATTCTGCCTGCATGTGATTAATCCTTGCATGATCTCTGATCGGCTGCTCTATGGGCTTATTTATGCGTCTCCCAAACTCTGAAGATGACAAAACAGCAACAGGTCTTGCCATTTCCTGTGAAAATATAAAAGTCTTCTTACAACAAAATCACAGAGCGAATACTTGGCAGTTATCTATTACTGCTGTGGCCAGGAACAAAATAACAGAACTGTGCAGCACCTGCTATATGAATGTATATTTATTTAACAGTGATCTGCATTCTTACTTTCCATCCCTGACCTGTTTTTTTATGTATATTAATAGACCATGAATGTATCACTAGATGACAAGATGGTAAGATATGGAGCTGTGCCATGAGCTACTGTGGACTGATAATTTTGTACACACACACACGCGATTACCATGTGATTACTGGCAAACTAAATGCTATGTTACTGGAAAGTGGCACAGATTTCATTTTCATTCTTACTTTTCTTGTGCACTGACTTGCATGATTCATTTGACAAATAGGAGAGATTTGTGTCCCCTATTACAGGAACACCTACCATACTTGCACAATTCAGTGAAAGCGCTGCATGAAAAAAATCAAAGCCTAAAGAAAAACCCTAAGCAATCACTAGTCTATGCAAGCTTTCTCTCAAGGACATAAAGCATATACTACTGTATTTCTGCACAATTTTACTAACAATGCTTGTAGCTGTAAGATTACAGAAATAACTGCTCTGCAATGATGGGAAGTGGACTTGGTGAAAAATAACCTGACCAAGAAAAGATTATTTTAAGCTTGTTCTTAGTAAACTGCTCTTTAAGTGACTGTGCAATCTGCAGTTCCTTCCTGTGCTATAGCAAGGAGGAGCTCTGGAGTCAGAAGGG